CTAGGCGACAAAACTGCTCGAGGTCATATCTGCTCTTAGTTCAACAAGAATTTGGGAATTAAGAGGAAATAGAGGTAATTCAAGCAAGTCTCTCGGATCATTATGAATACTTTGAGGAAGCCAAGGAAGGAGAAGAGGATAGTTTAGAGTTATGTTTTACTTTTTCTTCATTTTCTTAATGAGATTATAGAGGGATTTGAGAGAAATATAGAGGGATTTGAGAGAATTTTGTAAGAGAATACTTTCATCAGTGTAGGGAGCATTTAAAGATCACTTGGGAAGGAGTTTTCCCCTCTTTTTACAAGGAGAAATTTAAGTGTTACATTCAATATTGTATTGTTCCTTTATAGCTTTATCTTATGATGATTTAGTTGGATGTGTAGGATATTAAGATAATTTTAGAATAGGTTTTTATTTATTAAAGTGATGGTTTTCCTTTGTGTTTAGTTTACTTGTCATTTTAGCCAAATGATATGTTGAAATTCATTGTGAACCCATAAGGACTCGCGAGAGCTATGACATGAACAACTAGGAGGAGTCACATTGCACTAGTGGGCGAAGGAAATGTTGTCCATAAAAAAATACAAATAGGTAGGGAAATATGCTTTGCTGGGTTAAAATTGGGGTTTCTATGGTGATAGGCAGAAACACTAACCAAGTTGAATCAACTTCTTTATGTCCTCAGAAGAGGGTAAAAAAAAAGATTGCTCCTATTTGTCACTAACTACAATTTCTATTCTAAGTGTTCCATTTCTACACACCACTTATGTCATTGCAAGGGAATTCTTGATTTTCCCACTTTAATTAGCTTTAGTAAAATTACCTTATGAGTAAATCAATAGATGTAACGATAAATTAGTAGGACTAGTAAACAGAACTTAAATCAACTTTACTTCCAGACTAAAAAGGACTAGTAAACAAAACTTAAATCAACTTTACTTCCAGACTAAAACTCATTATAGCAGGCTAGAACTTTCCTTAAGCTCAATTACCATATTCTCTATAGGACTGATAATCCGGGCTCAATAATCCAATATTATTGGTACAACACATATACTTACGTGAACCCTTTAGTATGTAAATTTCATCTGAACTGGGAAATGTATCAAGATTTTGACACCGTTGCAAGGAACGAAGGTGTAGTGCTATATTTTTGCAAAAATCAAGTTCTATAATCCATATTATTTGTTTAAGTTTGCAAGCATTACATCTATAGGCACACCAGGAGAGTATCACTACTCCACTAGTTTATTTTTCAGGAATTCATCATAATATAGAGGAGCTCCTCTATAGATAGACCATTAAGATTATCTTGAAAGAAAGCAAATGCATATTGTAGTCAAGCTTAGATACACTATGCAAGGTCCCTAAGCCAGGGAAATCCAAGCCACAATCAACCTCACTTTAGGAAGCTTTCTTCACTTGTTGCACCTTGTTAACATTTACTAGTGTAAAGTTGGAGCCTTGCCCTTCTTGACAATTTCTTCTGTTACCCCTTCGAGGCTCTTTTGTGTATAGAGTCTTTATTGATCAAAATTCTTAGAGGCAGGTATGGAATGCACATTCAAGAAAACTTTTTATGTGTTAGGAGAAATGTGTAAGTGTTGTACCACCGCCAATTCACTATTTAAAAAAAAAAAAAAACTTAGAGATATTAATCTCAGAAGAGTAGTCATAACTTCAATAACATCCGCATGAATTTTAAAGTTAAAGGGTAAAGTAGAAATGGGGTTATACGCCACTAATCTACACAGTGAAACGTCAAACGTAGAGTTAGTCATCTAGGGTATTTCTTTAAAAATTATTGGGAGACCTACTCTCTTAATTTTTTTCTTTTGGAAACCTTATGATCTAGAATTCCCAAAATTTAAAGCTTTGAGTCATCCAAGGCAACATAAACGATAAGAAAGCCTATAAAGAGATTATAAGATGACCTTAAATGATTCTGCATGACATTATTTGCTACAAGGACAATTGTATGAGTTTTACTGTATAAAATATCCATCATTGCTTTAACATAAATTAAAAAAAAATGACATAAAGCACTATGCTTTTGGGCAAAGAACTTAGCATATTTATTGATTCCAAAGGATGGGAATCTTATCCATGGTTAGTGAGAAGAGTTGGGCAACAATTTCTTGTTAATTGTTGATTATTTAGTGAGAAGAGTTGGGCAACAATTTCTTGTTAATCGTTGATTATAAAAAAAAAAAAATATTTCCCCTTTCAATTGTTCCCCTTATTGTCCAAACCAAACATATTGGCAGAGAATTAAATGAACACATCCTTAAAGGCCTTCAATATGAAAATAAATAGAAGAAGTTAAGACTTAACAAACTTTTCTTCTACACTAAATCAAGGTAATTACGATCGCAAAGATATGCGTAATTTGGGTTGGCATAATTCTATAATAATTTAGGATATTGAATATCTTTTGACATATTAACAATCTCAAGTCAAGTTAAAAATGATCACCACAGAATCATAACTCATCTTTAAATAATTAGTTGAGGAAACTTTAGAAGTTCTTCTCTTCATAACAGTAGAGTTGATGCATTACATTAGTGATTAACGTAGCCAACAAACTATGACAATACTCACCCTTCAAAACTCCTTTATACACTTCATCAAGAAAGTAGTAATGACATATGGAGCCTGTGGAGTGAACATACGAGAGTTGTGCATGGAGAAAATAACTATCATAGAGGAATTCAAAAGTGGCTAAAGATTATTTAATATGATAATAATTGTTTTTGAGATAAATGTGGCATCCACCATAAAATCTAAAATTCAAATTAATTCTTTAATTATTATTATTATCATCATCACCACAACCCACTTGTATACCAAAAGGACATCATGAATTACTGATGTGAGTTATTTCAAAAAATCATATTATAAAAATGATCAAATTGGTTACACAAATTTGACTCAAAAAAATATTGAAAATAAGAAATATTGATTACATTATTTTCTTACTCACATCACATGAAAGTAAGTTGGTCATAGTTTGCCTTAAAGAAGTACCAATCTTACATGTTATCGAGTCCATTCCTATTACTCATTAAGAAAAAAGGTTACAAATAAGATCATTTAGTACATTAATTAATACATTTCTACTTCTACTTAGTTGATTTAGGATAAATTTCTCTCATTAAGAACTAATTGTGCCCCAATGAATATATGAGGCCCTCGATAATGGAGAAACTATCCCTATTTCTTAAATTTCATTACAAAGAGTCACAAACAAGTCACCGTGAGAAGGTGTCAAGATTTTGATTATCAAATTTTTTATGTTTGCATTGATTAGAATGATTCGCTTCATTAAAGCCTACATGGGACCATCGAGGGGAAGTAGTGACTCTTTTACTTCGTTAACTTTGGCTTGTAATAGCACCATTGTTGTAAGCATGTAATGGTCGTGAGACATAGACACTAAAGTAATCTAGAAGTCTATCTCCCAAGTTTGAAGGATTTGTATGATTTAATTGAACTCGTCCTTTTTATAGGCTAATCACCTAAAATATAAGTGAGATATTTTTGCAATCTGTTGAGTTAGAAAAGTTAGGGAAGAAGGTCACCGATCCTCCCTATGAGAAATCCTGAAGGACTTATAACTCTTTGAACTTTCACATCTATCAGTTCCTCAGTCATGACATTCACATGTCAAATAAAACTATGTATTTATTTATTTAATCTTCTTATGAGAAATATTTTATAATGCCCTAAAATCCTAAAAATGGAGGGTTAAGGGATGTATGAGAAGGCATCCATAGTGCTTTACTCTTCACTGTAATAAATAAAAACACCCGAAGCTTCTCAGTTTAAGCAACATTTATCTCTCTTCCTCCTAACTCTATTTCATTCTCTTTATTGATCTCAGCTGATGAAATCTCTTAGTGATACTCAGGTATCATCCACAAACTGATTTGGATCCAACTGTTCAAACTTAATCGAACCGGGATCAAACATGATTTAAATATGTTCAAACATAGGTTCCAACCTCAGTCAAAATATGATCAAACATGTTTTGTTGGAGTAAGTGTTTAAAATATTATTTAAATACTAATTAAACTATTTTTTTAAATAAGATTTAAACATGAATCAAATTATATTCAATCATCATTCAAATAAGGCTCAAACATATTTTCTAATAATGGTGAAACTATATGCATCCAAATACTCAACTCTATTGAATTTTTTGAGGACGATGCCTATTGAAGAATAAGTCTCAAGTTAAATAAGGCGTAATCCTCTTTGGGATAATGAAACTTTATGCCTTGAGGTATTTTTTGGAGGCCTCATATTATGGTGGGTTTTGAGTGCATACCTCAATTTCGTAAGCCTAGGTTGATGATTTAACTTTTAGATGCTGTAAGTTTTAAAAATTTACGCTAAACTCGTGCTCCATAATAAATTTTTTTTGCACTCCCAATTGATATAATTTGTGGCCAATTAATTTCATTGAAAAACAAAATCATGCAAACAAATTTGACAACAAAGTGCTTAATCAATTAATATTATCATTAAAGCAATCATTAAAACAAATTTTTTTTTCTAGAGGGATTTATGCATGTACCACATAATCCTTATATATTTACATACCCAATTTTTAAATTTTAATATTTATTGGTATAAAATCCACCACAACAAATATTGTACATAAAAAAAATGTGCATTTTATTTTATTTAAAAAATAAATGTAGGTCATTATTTGATGTGATTTAAAAATCTAAAAAATATATAAATCTTAAAATTAGAAATCAAACACATTTGATTTTTTTAAGCCGAATTATTCCATTTATGCATGCCACCATAAAGCCATTAAAATTTAATAATTAAGAATTTAGTAAAAATGAAAAATATGTGTTAGATATTTTATCATGAATTTTAATATTTTTGCTAGAACTTAAAATTAAAAAAAGAAATTAATACTTGATTTACATCTCTGTTTTAAAAATACAGGAGTCGAGCCCTATTCACCATTACCACTATCTCTAAAATCGTCGCTCTCTTTTCCAAAAACCGCCCAACTATACTTTGTCCTCCGCATTATCGGTCCCTCCCTCGCTTGCACGTTCCCTTCCAGATTCCCATGATCGAGCCGATGAACAGCTGGAGGGCGCTCCTTCTTCGCATCGGTGACAAATGCTCGGAGTACGGCGGCTCCGTCGACTACAGGGAGCATATCGTGAGTATTTCCTTGGCCCCTACTTCATCCTCTACTCGAGCACTCGCCCTCATCTTAAAACCTCAGTACTGAGCCACGTAGTAACTTCTTATGGAACGCAACTACGGTCCAAATGCTGGTCCTGCTTGTTCCTGATTTATAGCTGTTTATTTCAAACCCCTAATTTAAATTGATTTTTTTTTTTTTGTATGTTAAAAACTTATGCAAAACTTTACCTTTTATATGTTATGTTTAGGTTGTCAAGGTTGTTTAATTTTAAATATTTAATTTCTTTTTTTTCTTTCTGTTTGATCTCTCACTAATCCATCTTTTTTGGAGAAATGTAACCGGCCAGTGTTTAAAATTCTACTCGTATTGCAGGATACATGTTGCAGCGTGCTTTGGCGGGAGTACGAGCATTCTAGAGATGACATCTTAGAGGTAGAGTTGCCTTATGATCATGTATTAGATGTCATGGGCAAGTAAGCTTTTTTTTGTTTTATTTCTACATGGTGCTTCTTGTTTTACTTACTGATGTTGAAGCAATAAATTACTCGTATCCAATAACCTAGACAACTGCTTGTTTTGTCTACTATATCACCTGCAGGCTGGCAAAGTAGCAAGGAGCATTTCTGTTGTTTTAGTTTTATGATCAATATTGGCTAATTTTCATTTGTTTTTACGAGAATTTAAATCAATTATTTTCATTTTTATCATAAACATGTATGATCATCATTCTTTTTACTCAACATTTTTTTTTTTTTTTTTTGAACACTTGGTTTATTGATACAAATATATTGTTAAAATTCTTCTTCTGTCAAACCTCCTCTCATTTTGTTCCAGGGTTGTCGAGAGAACCATGTTTTTTATTCCAATTCCCTTCAAATAGATATTACTGTTTAGCAGTCTTTACTGGGTTTGCGAGGAGAAGGAAGTTTATTCATGTCTTTCACTTTGCTAAATTTCGTCACTTCACAGTTATTATAAAATTAATTTGCATAAAAGTATAAATTTTTCTTACCTGAACAAGCTCTTTTTATTCTTCTGCCAACTACTTTGATCTAATGTAGTAGAAGTTGTGTAAAAAGGCTTATGCACCTCGGGAAACACTCAACAAGAATGATTTAATAAGCAGAATATATAACCAACTCCAAATAGCTAGTAGTCTAATAATGATGATGAAGAAGAAGATGATGATGATGTGTATGTTGTGGAGATTCTTATTATACATTTGGTGTTATTTACTTTGTGTTTCTATTATCTGGCAGTGCCTCAATTTATTTACCTATAACACAATTTAGGGGTGATATAAGGTGAAATTTGAGTATTCTGACCTAAACTCGAGATCCAAGATTCTAATTTTGTCTCGATTCAAGTTCTAATGAAGTTGGAAGTGATTGATTTTTGGGTCAAATTTAGCCTGATTTGGGTTCAGTTTAATTATTTTCAAATTATATGTTTTAGTTAATAATCAAGATCATGTATGCATTAGCATTTATTTGTAAAGTTATATTATTCAATATAAAATGTGCATACATGCACATGTATCATGTATGTGTGTATATTATTTGTGTTATGTAAGCATAAATACCTATGCATGTATATGTGTGTCAAAATATGCATGCATTAACTCATAAATACATATGAATGCCTACATATCACATGTTGAGTAGATTTTGAGTTGAATTGCACTAATTTTGAGGGAGACATCTTCAACTTGGAGTAGATAGATTTTGATTTTTAGTTAACTAAACTTTAAGTGATCATCCAACTAATTTCAAATTTTCGACATAATTTCCAGGCCTAACGAGACCTAGCAATTAAGAAAATATGGGAAGGGATCAATTAGAGAAAATTAGAAGCAGTTTCACTTGAAACACTAAATTTTAACATTTCTCTTCTTTAGGCAGAATGCTTATATAACATAGTTAAATCATGTAAGGGTGATCATTTGATCATTTAAAAAAAAAAAAAACTAGTAGTGTTTTCAAGGATAAGATATATCATGTATAAAACTAAAATTTGCTTATGCACTCCTTGGATGAAATCATATTAATGTAATGATTTGATTGCATTGACCTTTCAAAGTTGTATGGTATTCTTACTTTTTCCATCCCCCATTCCCATGGTACATTGACCTTTTAAAGGTTTTTGGCATTCTTACTTTTTCCATCCTCCATTCCCATGGTACAGTGGTAGCTTGTTTTTAGGTATTTACTAAATGCTAGATGTTTAAAACTTTGCAAGTAGGTTTTTTGTTATAATATTTATGTCTTTGGGTATTGAATTGAGCTTTTGAATTAATCACCTTGATTGCCCACCAATTTGTTGATTGTTATTTTTTAGAACAAATAACCTTGATTCACTGCTGTTTTACTGATTCAGCTAGACGATTGCGCCTGTTCTATTGCTTCTTGTTTGAGTGCAAGTGTACATAGACCAAGTCATTTTAAGCTTCATTGGGGTGGCTTTTGCTTTTGTACTTTTGTTGTTAGAGATTTTTAAAATTTGTTTTTTTTAATCACACATTTTATTATGCATTCTCAGAAAAAGATTTTCTAAATTGAATTTTTGGATAAGCAAGGAAACTCATTGCAAATTTTTCATCTGGAAAAACGATATCTTTTATTGGCTACTTTTCCTAGCATTGAAGTAGTCAAAAAGCTGTTCAAGTCAAACCTTTAAAAAAAGACATTTTTATTTTAGATTACTTGATTAATTTGTGTACAAACTCTGACTCCCAAATTATAATTGATTTTGGTTATTAAAATTTTATTTTATGTATAAAATGGCTTATTTCTTTTTGTAGAAAAATGAAATCCCATTTGCTATATTATTTAATTATTTTTTAAAGGTGATTTTAACATTGGATTATTTTCCTGATCTTGTTTATTTTCTACTGCTTTTTTCTTCCAGTACTGTAAATTTTTTTTTTGAAGCTGGGTCTACTTTATTAAGGATCTGGTTGATCATTTCTTGGTTGTATGGCTTAAATTGCATGGGCTATAAGGTTGTTGTTTTTCCGTACTATTTAGTATGGTCTTAGTGTAAGTCCCTCTCAAATTTTCCATGTTTTACATCAAATAGGAATTTTATTCTAGGGAATTAGTGTTACGGAAGCGGTTATTTGTCATAGTCATTGATTATCCTTACTCCTTTCGTTACAATCTTTGTCATTCCGTATTGGTGTGAACAGTTATGTGATGGTGAGAAAAATAATGGCATGTTTTCTACTCTATAAACATTGATGTACTATTTTGTGATAAAAGGTGGGCTTGCAAACTTACTGTGCAAAGTGAAGAAGGTTAACTAAGAATTACTTGAAATTCATAATCATATTAGCGAACTTTTTTGTGTTCTTCTTTTGTAAGAAAAAAAAAAGCTGTAAAAAAAGCAAACTTAACTTCGTTTATTAAATTGTTGAAAGCCTTAAGTCACCTATGCTCACCAGTATTTTGATTGAACAGCTCCTTCTTCAATGTGCTGAGCAGCTGCCGCATAAGATTCCTTTTTATGGAGTACTGGTACGGTTACACAACATTTGTTATGCTTTTTTAAAATTGATATGCAAATTATTCGTTTCTTATAATCAAACCCGATTGTAAATAGCTTTCACTAAACTTCATTCTCCCTGTTAGTATGTTCACACACAAAAACCAATTACGGCAACATATGTATCTTTATGTTATAATGGTAATTTCTTCCATTGAATCTTATTAATCAACATGTCCATAATACTTTAGCATGATAAATTCATACGTTCGCTTGTAATAATTTTGGTTTATCCATTTCATCTGATATAAATAGCAATGTGGTTGTATATTCCCGCTTATTCTAACTGATTCAGTTTTTATTTTAATTTCCTTATGTTAGCTTCCTTACTCAAAAAATTTACGTTGGTGGGAGGCTTTGAAATATATCTTTTTGAAATTTGGTTTAAGTGGTCTAAATGAAGGGAAAAGATGGTGGATGGTTAGATGATTTAGAACATTTGGTGGAGTGGTGGAGTGGTGGAGTGGTGGAGCTAAAGGTCTTGTGGTGGTGTGAAGAACAAGACTTAGTGTCTAGCTAACTAGATTAAGTAGTTGTCCACCTAGGTTTGGCATGTAGCTTCTACGGGGGGTTTGGAGTTGTTTCGAAGACTAGGGAGGTGGATGGTTTATTTTAGGAGATTCTTTGGCGTAGGGAAATACGAGAAGTATTTGGAATAGGTGCTGAGATGAATAGCAAGAACTTAGATATATAACTAATCCTGCCAATGATAAGAGAAGTTAGGTTACCAAGCACACACTAATAAGAGAAGATCTTCTCCACAATTTATTTATTAGACAAAAATTTCAAAATTTCATTATAAAAGCAACACTCTTTGTAGGCATTAGCATAGCTTTTAGATTGCTACATTTAAAATAATGTAGGGAATTTTTGGAGGGAAAAACAGGCGGCCCTTAATGGATGGTGTTAACCACTTTTATCTGTTTATTTATTTTCAATATTTTTTAGGTTGCCATCTTCTAAATACTCCTCAATAAAAATTAAAAAATTTAAATTCTAGATTTGAAATTTAAATAGTAAGAAAATTAAAAAATTTAAATTCTAGATTTGAAATTTATATAGTAATGCTTAACTATAATTGATTAATTAGTTATTCTTGATTTGGGTTTTGAAATGGGCCATTTGTGCTCCTGCTTGGGCTCTTTTTTTGATTTATATGATGGATATTTTCTTTAAAATTTATGAGATGGATTATTCTTTAGCTTGATTAAAATCATCTTGATGTTTTACATTTCCCTACTTCAAAAAATTCTACCCCATAGAATTCCAACGTTGACGTTGGAAAGAAATTTAAAAATGCCAATGCAAAAAACCATTATATTGAAAAAACATGTAAGAAGGCAAAACACATTTGTACTAGACAGGAATTATGCAAATATTAAGATGCAAATAAATAAAAACATTCTTGCTACTTAAGCTAAGATAATCACATTCTTTTTATCATTATAAATAAAATAAGAATAATTTGTTCTACAATCCAATTAAGATTAGTTTAGGTCTTCAAACGAAGGATGAACATAAGTGGCCACGTAGCTTTTAACTTCTCTAGGAGATGATGAGAAGAGATCTTTAATTTTGATCTATAAAGGAGAAGCTAAGAAAATCACATGCAAGCTTGAAAAATCTAGCAAAGTTTTCTTACAATAAAAAAAAAATCACCAAACTCATCTTCAAATTCATGCAAATTAACCTTCTTCAATCTTTAAAACTAAAATTACAGAGGATAAAAAAGGGTTCCAATCTTGATTATTTTTATTCAAGCAATTAGATCCACCATAAGAATAGAAGCCCATAAAAAACTCCTACCTTCACATTCCAAAATTGTTTGTTGCTAACCCCGTGAGCCTTAATTGGCATGAAAATGTTTTGATGATCATTAATCTAATTTGGTTTGAGCTAACAAAAGTTAATATAGGATTTTGTACCAACATTTTATCAGAAATAGAAATAGCAAATTCAAGTGTTAGAGACATTTAGTAGATTATCACTAAAAAGAAGCTCTCAACTACATATTATCTAGCTAACCCGTGATCGGAGTAACTTAAGTTAGCACAAAGGTTGAGAAATATAAGATATCTAGGAATACTTCAAGGAAGGAGCTTCAACTTCTGAAATGATAAGATATCTAGGAATACTTCAAGGAAGGAGCTTCTGAAATTTGTTTTATTTTTTTGAGTTATGCATATGTTTTAGGTATAAAGGTTTTTAAGACAACTGACTAACACGTTCAAGCGAAATATAACATATAAATTAGGTAAAAAATCAATCAAAATTGATAATAACTGATTATACTATGTAAACAAGAATCATATTGTATGATCACCAAAGTTTTGATCAGACTGTACGAACAAGGATTCTAATGTAAGATCAAGAAACATATTGTATTATTAGATTTATTTTTAAAATACATTTGACTAAATTTGCTTAAGATTAGGGGATCTCATAGTTGATGCACAATTGATCTTATGATCACACTATACGATACCAATTGTATTGTATTATATGCTTAATATTGTATAATTATATCAAAATTAATTTTGGATTATTTAATGCAATTCAAAATTTGAACTAATCGTGCCGTGCAATGTACTTTTTTACCATACGATCAACATTATTATGTCAAACTAACTGATAGTTTAAGTTACCTTGATTTATTTAACTCAAAAATTTAATCTCTTCATGATATACAATATATATCGTAACATACATGTTTGCTTAATTAACTTAATTAAGCAAATAAGTTAATGGATTGATTGGATACAAACTATTTCAAATTGATTTTACAGTATGATTTAGATTATATTATACTATCAATTTGTACTCTATTTTTTTTTAACAGTATGATTTAGTAGAATTAATTTGCTTCTAACGCCTCGCCTCTTATTCTATAAAAATATTCAGTTCTTTTTGATTAATTAATTAAGCAATTGTTAATGAGTCTAACTGAGTTGAGCTACGAGTTGCTCGGCGAGCTTATTGGTTTGTTTGTAGCCCTTATGGAGGTATTGTTTGAGTCATTTTAATGCTCTCAAGAAAAGCATATAGGAATTTGGGCCAGCTCAAATAAGGTGGTTGACCTTGAAATTTGTTTGGATTTTTGATCTGGCTTTCTCTCATTTTGATGATGTGGCTAGCCATTAGGGTTGGCATGGCCACCTCACATATGTAAACATTTTATTTTTCATAAGGCCTAAATCTTACTAAATGTCTTTGAAATTACTTGCAATACCACAAGAAAGGACAATTGGTAAATAAATAATTTCATAGGAACCAAATCAGTATTTCTCCCATGAATGGCGAGGTCTATTGAGAGTTCTAGCCATTGTTCTATATGTTGTAACACATTGTATACTTTACGCCCATGAAGAACTAACATTCACTAAAGTACAATATAATATCATAAGCAGAACCTTTATTCTAGATATGGAAACATGAACATTTTCTCTTATGTTCTCTCTCTCTCTCTCTCGTTATGTTTGTTTGTCTATTTGTGTGTGTGTGTATATATATATATATATATATATTAAAAAAGCTCAAGGGCTAATATATTAAAAAGGAAAAGATACAAATAGGTTGTATGAGTGGTCCCAAAAGAAGACACCCTTCCAAACGGTACAACACACAAAAATCCAAAAAAAAAGAAGATACATGTAAGACCAAAAAACCAAAACCACCAAAACACACAAAAAGTTAGGGACGACCCAATTTAGTACAACCTCTAGTTCTAGGAAGAGAGCCATCTAACAAATTGGTGAGGTGTGTACCATTAACAGAAGTAACTAAAGTATCATCCATTAGATTACTGAGCTCAAGTAAGTCGCCATTCATTTTCTTTCTCATGGATGTGTAAATCTGTCGTTCCTCATCTGAAGGCTGGCTCATCTGATCAATGTGTTGGTCAACAGATTGCCGGACATATATAAGCTGATGAGTTTCTTGCGCCTGACTAACAATAATGACTTGCTCGTTCGGATGAGGTGGTAGAACCGTAGTAGAAAGATTGCCAACCGTTGTAACCACAGTAGGTTTTAGTGTATGTGAAGTATGAGTTGTCGCCTCTGCACCGGATACTTCATGAAGATGAAGAGCTGCAAGACTCCGGATTATCGGTTTGAACACTATTCTTTGTAGGTAATGATCCTTCAGTATTGTTTTCAATAAGGTTTGAAGGTGTAGGCAGCCTAACAAAGCCATCCGACATCACATCAATCGCATAAACAAACAATATTGTCAGGAGGGTCCCCAGAGGCAATTAAATCAGACACTAATTTCTGTTTTGTGGTAATTTTCTCCACAGGTGGAGCAGATGTGTCTAGAGTAGTGGGGTTATACCCGTCCTTATTCACTTGAGCTTTATATATCAAATTAGGATGGAGTCTGTGATATTTGTCAAGAGTATGCCCAAACATCTTATAGTGGGTACAATAAAAAAGTCTATGTTCTATGAAAATTTGTTGTCAATATCCATTATGTGTTGTGCTCAACCAGACTTCAGTAATATCAGGTAAAGTAATATCCTTTTCCATAAGTATTCTGGCCACGGAAGGCCTGGTTAGATTGAAAGTGGATAGATTTAGCTTTATAGGATCCTCAAGTATAACCCCAATAGAGTAGGGGATCAGATGATTAAAAAATTGCAGCTTGGTATAGGATCCTCAAGTATAACCCCAATAGAGTAGGGAATCAGATGATTAAAAAATTGCAGCTTGGGACCAGGTAAACTAAACCATACTGGTACAGTGAGAGATTCCTGGTTTGGGTCAAAATCAGGAGATCACTTGAGTAATTTCATTGACTTTCCTGCAATTTTAAGATATTTTTTAGAGAAAACTTTTCACTAGCCTACTAGTTTTAGATCATCAAAACTCTTTCTAATATCTTCCATAGATGGGTGTCTCCACTGAAATTTTCTAATAAGAGCGAACTTGCATTTCTCTGTCAAGGTTAAAATTTCTAAATCAGAGAAAAAGAGTG